AACTCTTGGTTCATAGGTCAATGTTCAACCACTGAGCCACACCAACCAGCTTTTTTGATAACCTTCTGTTAAAACTCTTGAGTTCAACATATATAATTATTCAGTACTTAACATTTTTCATCATAAAAAAAAACTATATTGAATTCCAAATCAAGTGAGACATTGTGTCTGGTGCTCTACAGAGGAGTAAAGATTAATGCTTCTTTTGAAAATACTTTTCCACAATCTTCAATAGAGTTAGTAATAATCAAGTTTAGTTGAGGGTAAAGAATAAAAACATTTATTTAAGGAAAACCATCCAGCATCAATAGCTCTGAGTTTGGCAAGTATGAAGAGTGGATGATTAATGATTTGTTGGTGTATGAAATTTGAGATACAGGAAGCAGTATGGCAAAAAAAAAAAGAATACTTATTATTAAAACTGAAAAAGAAGAGTTAGCAAGCTACTATGATAGAAAAGAACTTGAGATTAAGAAAATGTCACCATGCAATGAAAACAATCATCTCTTTAATAAGTACTAGTAGAGAAGGAGGCTAGATTTACTTGCAAGATTATGGGTGAATGTTCCTCATGGAACATTTTGGTTCTTGACTATAAAGAGGTGGACTGTACAAAGATGTGAGCAGACCCCAGTACTAGAAGGAGACACGGAGAAGTGGGATAAGGAAAAAGAAAAAATCAGAATGTCTTTGTGCGAGGGTCCCTATAAAAAAACATACCTTTAAAAATCGGAGTAAACATGTATTATAATTTTTTCTGTGACTATAAAAATATAATAAACAGCATGAGAACTACTGTAAACATAAGAATCCCCTTTCATTGTAAACATATATAAAGCCTCCTGATACTATATTAGACATCACATTACAAAATTCTATTTTTTGCTGTTCCCTTTCCTGGTTCCTAGTTGTTCACATTCTTGGAGAGAACCAAGGCTTTTAGAGACCCATCAATCCAGTCCTTTTATTTCATAGATAAAGAGGGTAAGCAGCTTGCCCACGGTCACATTCATCCTCAGTGGCAGAGACTGGACTAGAACCAGGTCTCCTGATCTCCCATTGCGTGCTCTTCACATTATAACACGACCTGGCTCATACCCCCACTCTTCCTGGTCTGTACCTAATGGTTCTCCCTGAATCTCAGCTGGGCAGAAGGGCTGTGAGGGAAAGGACAGGTCTGTTTGGGGCTTTCTGGGTTGCTATGAGTGTGGGACACTGAAGTCCTGGTTATAGAAAATGTCCAATATGAGGAGCTTCAGGCTCCAGGGGACATCTCCACCCTCCTCCATGAAGTCTCTAACCACCACACGATCAATTGAGCTACTAATCAGTAGTGGGGCTTGCTTCCAAGTATGTACATTCCAGCAAAAAGAAATACACATTTAACTGGATTTTTTTGAAAAGCCCCACATTCTCACATCTATTTCTGATTTCATGCTCATCAGCACTCGACATTCCATATGTTCTATTCTGGCTAACCTGATTTCTGGGTGACAATATGGGGGATGCTTTATCACAACATTCATGAGGTGTCCCAAGAGGGAGAGTGGTCAGATCTCTTGGGGCCATTCTTATGTGTTTCCTTTGAGAATATATTTACTATTATTTTTTAATCCTCACTCGAGGATATATGTTCTTATTGATTTCAGAGAGAAAGGAAGGGAGGGAAGGATGGAGGGAGGGAGAGGGAGAAAGGTGGAGGGAGAGAGAGAAACATTGATGTGAGAGAGAAACATCAATCAGTTGCCTCCTATTGCACCAAAACTGGGATCAAACACGCAACCTGGGTATATGCCCTGACCAGGAATCAAACCTGCAACCTTACAGTGTATCAGACGACACTCCCACCAACTGAGCCACATTTTTGTTCAAGATTCAACACAAAAACTGTGAATTGAGAATATCCTTTGTCATATTCATGAATTAGGAAAACTGTGACAGCAAAGTTCTTGAAACTTTCTCGAGTTTACTGAAAATTCAAAAAGTACCACAGTTCTTTGATTGTCTGGCAGAAATTTATCTCCCTTGTGCTCTCTAGGTTCCTATAAGAATAGGATCTCTTTTATTTAAACTTTTCCTGGATTTACTTTCTCAAGCGAAGATAAATCTTTTGTTTTATAAGTCGATAGCCAGCCACGTGTTCTGTGGTCCACCTCAGGCAATAAATTCCCTTTGTGCCATTTTTCTTGTCTCTTTCCATATAGTTTGCTGTGTCTTATACACAGACTCCTGAAAAATTCTTTCCACTTGTGTATGAAAGCCACGACTTTCTTCCTCCAGGGCATTGATGGTTCGCAGAGCAAAGGGAGTCCTTTCCCGGGTCAGGGGATTGTTCAGGGGCCGCATGGGTATAACGGAGTTGTATTTGTGCTGCCTGTTCACGGAGTTCATTAGGGACGTATAGAACTGGAACCTGCACCAGGTATCTCTTAAAAAGTTTTCAGTCAACAATAAGATGGTCCACGCAGACCCATTTACAGCATCATCTAAATTCTGTAAATGCTGTCTGCCACATGGCATCTCAGCAAAGATGATTCCAGGTTTGATGCCAAAGTCATTTTGGAGCAGATCCTGGACTCTAAGAGCTTCATCTGTGTCATCCTCTGCATGCAATATCACAAATTTGAAGAACACCTCTTCTTCTGCTTCCTCTTCAGACATCCCATCCACGCCCGCAGCTCCCGCCAGCTCTCCTGTTGGCATCTTTGTTGTGCAGCTGTGATCAGCAACATCATGCAGGGAGATGTCAGATTTCTTGGAATTCGATTCATGATGTCTCTGACTTGTAGCCATACTGTGGCTTTTTCCCAAAGAGAGAGAAAGAGAGCAGGGATCTATTTTAGACTTCCTGATACCCATGATAAATATCCAAATTAGAAGAGAAAAGTTTTATTTCTCAGCATTTCTTTTCATTCTAAAAGAAGAAATAACAAAGAGAAGAACATTGTAAATTTAATCAAAACATTAAAAATAGAAACTTGCATTCAACATCAAAAGCTCAAAAAGATGACAATATATAGGTCCTAAGGAAGAAATGCCACACAGATCATTGGGAAACAAAATCAACTGTCTTTTGTGAGCTTCACAAGGGCTACTACAGGTAGTCAAAGGTAAGTTAAACCGAGTGTCCAGGCAAATATAATAGGAGACATTTGGAAGTTTTAAATGACATTCTATTAGCACTATAAACCTCCAAATTAAAATGAATTACTTTGGGGGGAAACCAAGATGGCGGCATAGGTAAACACCAGAGATTGCTGCTTAGCACAACCACTTCAAGCATACAACTAAAAGACGGAACAGACATCATCCAGAACCACAGGAAGGCTGGCTGAGTGGAAATTCTACAACTAGAAGGAAAGAGAAAAGCATACCGAGACTCAGAGGAGGTGTGGTGCGGAAGTAAAGTATAGAAGTATGGAGGCACATGTGGTGAGGGCTGGCGGCTGAGGACATGGTTGTCTTTTTCAATCGGTAGGAAGTCTCAAGCTCTGAGCTCCAGTTCCAGCGAGTCTGTGGGGACCCAGACTCAGACGGGAGAAACTGGACTGTCTGGCATCGGTTGGAACTCGAGGGCAGCTTTCTCTCGGAGGTGCTTGCAACAATTGCCCCTGAGAAGCGGGGCCTCTGAGGGCAGCCACAGCTTCTTGCTCTGCCCTATTGATCTCCTGGGACCTGTGCGCTGGCTTTTGCATATGAAAGGCCTGGCCCTTTGCAATCTGAAAATTACCTAACGAACTGCAGCTGGCTCAAGGCCCCACAGCAACTTGCATTGCTACACAGCTGAGCTCCTGCTGGGTAACCTCAGGCAGAGGCTAGATTAGCACCTCCTTAGAGATCCAGGAGCCAGTGTACCCAGTGGTCAGAGTGGGACCATCCAATTACAACTCCTCAGAGCCATAAGGGACACACTCAGGGGGCAGACTGAGTGAGCACCAAAGCCCCACTGAAGCAAGTCTTACCTCATAAGGGTGTCTTCAGCACAGAAGTTCTCCCACCATAGACACAGCTGACTCTCACCAACAATTGGCCCGGAGGTCAATTCCTCTGA